CTTGGTGGGGGGACTCAGCAAGGAGTTATTTCCATTCAGATGGGAATGAGACGTCCCTTTTGTTTTCCTGAAGCTGAACACAGCTGCTGACAGCCTGACTTTATGCAAAAGGCTGAGGGATAGGACATGGATCTGGGCAGCAGGTTGAGATCAGAAGAGACTGACGCCCACTGCTGGGTTTGCTGTGCTTAGAAACCACTGTGGGATTGGCATGGAAGGAGAGTACAGGACAGTAGCAGGACTGCTCTGCTGCCACTGCTGCTCCTGGGCAGAGCATTGCTCTTTGTCAGGCCAAGGCTGTGGTTCCTCAGCCCATGGCAGTGATGGCAGATGGACCCAGGGACCCAGGATGTCAGGAAAAGGGGACTACAGCTTCCATGGTGCCAACCTTCCCTCTTTGGAGAGATATCCTGACTTGCAATGAGGCTTCTGCGTGAGCTGGGCTGGGGCTGGAATCAGCACATTAGAGCTGAGGGTATAGCAGGACATGTTGAACACTGGAGAATCCTGAACCACTGATGCTTTGTGAGGCTGGAAGGGAGGTATTGCTTGATCCTGCCTCTTAATGAACACACTCCTGCTGTGTTTCACACGTCCCTCAGGCTTTTCTCCATTGTTCTGTGTGTGCTTATGGGAAGAAGGGGTGAGATGCAGCACCTCAGAGTTTGGGACACTGCTGGTCCTGTGGTGGCTAGTGCTGGTTCCCTTATTGACTTAGTATGGAACAAGAGAAAGGAGTCTCAGCGAAATCATTTGTCTCTTGCAGCCTGGCTCTGACAGTGGGACAACTGCTGTAGTGGCACTTATCCGGGGCAAGCAGCTGATTGTGGCTAATGCTGGAGACTCTCGCTGCGTGGTATCAGAAGGTGGCAAAGCTGTTGACATGTCGTACGACCACAAGCCAGAGGATGAGGTGGAGCTGGCCAGGATAAAGAACGCTGGCGGCAAGGTCACCATGGATGGGAGAGTGAATGGCGGTCTCAACCTCTCCAGGGCAATCGGTGAGCAAGACGGGGGTGAATGCTGGCATGCCAGGCCTCAGAGTGTTGTGCTCAGGACATCCATGCTTCCAGCACTTGCCAGCTGCTGAGTTTAAGGAACAGTCTTTAACTGGATGATGAGTAGAACCTGTCCAATATTTGATGTGGTGAGATTTCAGTTTAATTAGAGAAAATGGTCATGAAACTGGCAGACATCAGTGGAAAGCAACACCTAGCACCTACCAGGCTCCAGCACAGGACAGAGTGTGTGAAGCCTCCAAGGTTATTGTGCCAACAGCTGGGTTGTCAGAAGCCACCTCATATATACTGTCTCAAAACCAGACTGTGGACTTTTGAACAGGATTTTTTCATGTTAGCAGGCTCTTGAAAGACCTTGCTATGTTGCTTTCTGGGGACCTAACTTTATACCAGTTTGAGATTATTTGTTCCTGAGCCACCCTTGCATTTTAATTGCGCAAACTCCATCCCCCTTGCTGCAGTGCTTTAGACAGCACCTGACTGCTGTTTGTACTCATCTTTTGGTCTCTTATGAGCAAGTAATTAATGGCTCAGGAGACTGGGCTTATCTGTTAGCAGCCAACAGGGTCTTGGCCCACTCAATGGCTACATTGAGCAAATGAGATGCTGGGAAGCATTAACGAAAGGGTAGTCAATAACACTGAGAATGTACTGGGAAATACAGAGAGAACGGAAGGAATTGCGAGCAGCTAAGGGTGTGAGTGGAGAGTACTTGTGCAGAAGGACCAAAACCATCAAAATGATTATCCTAGGGTAAAGAGGTAAAAACACATTTAGGACAGAAACTAGGAGTTTGTTTATCTAGGGAGACACTGGCATTTCCACCTACTAATTTGCCGTGGCCCTAGAAGTCCCTTCCTAGGATGTAATTCCAGGTGAGCGTGCTAGTCAGAGCTGAGGATGTTTTCTCAAGTGAGCTTTGGCTGCTGAGGGTTTGGGAAGACCTGAACCCAGCAGTGTGATGTGGGCATTGCACCGAAATATCTGGCCCTGGACAGCCTGAGCTTCTGGAAAATGAGCATCTAGTGTTACCACAGCAAAGCTGAGCTAGTGCTGGGATGAGCTGCAAGTCCTGTTCCAAGACATGGGGTAGCTCATCTCAAGCACTACTGCAGGATTTCAGCTGGTGGCACCAGGAAGTGGGAAGTGGCTCTTGGTTTGGGGTGAAGAGATGCTGAACTGGCAAAAGCATCTCTTTCCCCTTGTGTGGTAACAGCATGTTGAGCTTGCCAAAGTTGATACCTTGAACGTGTGGCAGATTTCTCTGTCTGATGCACCCGCAGTCTGATTTGCTCTGGTTGTGGGAGCACTGGCTCCAGTTCTGCTCAGCTTTAGCAGGGCAGTGTTTCTCACTGTTCAGAGGTAGGCAGTATGGCCAGGGTCGAACGACAGAAAAAGTGATCCTTCTCTCCACTACAGGTGATCACTTCTACAAGCGAAACAAGAATCTGCCTCCAGAAGAACAGATGATCTCTGCCTTGCCTGACATCAAAGTGCTGACAATAAATGATGACCACGACTTCATGGTCATTGCCTGTGATGGAATCTGGTGAGTAGCGAGGGAGCAGTTGTGCCTCTTGGGCATCACTACTCTGGTGTTTCTTGGGAGCTGGGCCTTGGGAAGGCCCAAGGACCCTGGGTGTTAATCAGACACTATGGCATGACTGCTCCCTTCGCTTGCCCTTCTGACCTCTCCACTCGCTGCAGGAATGTGATGAGCAGCCAGGAAGTGGTGGATTTCATCCAGTCCAAGATCACCCAAAAGGATGAGAATGGAGTCCTGAGGCCGCTGTCATCCATTGTAGAAGAGGTAAGGTCCAGAGCTTCACACTCCCTTTAGCACACAGTGTTTCTGCATCCCAGCTTGGTGCCTGACTCTGCCCTCCCTCTTCATCAGACTGGTTTGTTCAGCTCTTGGGTATCTGGCAGCACATGGGCTGCGAGGCTGGCTGGAACAGGAGCAGAGATGTGTCTGAATTGGGACCTTGTTCCTTTGGCTCCCTGACTAGTGTTTCTGACCTCTGGGTTGCTGTCAAGCCAAAGGAGTTTCTGTCCACTTTCAGAAAACCAGGGCTGCTGAGGCTCTGTCCCCTGTCTGGTTGGGAGGAGCGTTTGAGCCCAGCCCACACCGTTCTGGCCTGGCAGCCCCTAAGCCGCTGTCAGTTGCCAGAGTGGGCCCAGTGTCTCAGGTTATTCAGAGTGCTGTGTCTGTGCTCTCTGGTAACCCATCCTGTCCTGTCCCTCCTCAGCTGCTGGATCAGTGTTTGGCTCCAGACACCTCAGGGGATGGCACTGGCTGCGATAACATGACCTGCATCATTATCAGTTTCAAACCCCGTAATACACACCCACCTGCTGAAAGTGGGAAGCGGAAACTGGAGGACATGGCAGCACTCGCAGCACCAGCAGAAGAGAATGGCGGTGGTAACAACAAGAAGGCCAAGCTGGAATAGCAGACCTTGCACAGGGACTTTGCTGTGCACTCACCAGACTCTCGTTTCTTAAACATGCTGAACTCAAGACTCCAAAGTCTTGTCCTTTTTTTAGCCTTAGCAGAGGCCTTGTTTGTCCGTGTCCTGGTTTGGGGGGTGGGGGGCGGGTCTGGTTAGCAAGGGCATGTCGCACTGTTCATCTGTAACCATTCCAAAGAGGGAGCCGAGGGCAGAGCTGCAGCGGGAGCAGCCACAAGCCACAGCACAGGAGCCCACTGCAGCTGGCAGCCTGTGAGCACAGAGCCCTATGGTTAGAAGAAGGATGTCCCCCCATTGTCTCCATGTGGTTGTTGCCATTTCTGTGCCTGTGAATTTCTGTTCAGAGGGAAGAACTTTTTCACTGTTGAGGTTTTTTTAATCTACACCCAATTATTTAAGGCCCTTTCTGTTTTTATTTGTGAAACAATCTGGCTGTGGTGCTGCTGCCACACCTCGTTCTGTTGTACACTTTCAATCAATACTTTTTTCAAACTAAAAGCCCAGAAAACGTAGCTGTACTTTTGCTCCTTGGTTCTTTCCTGGAGGTGGGGGGAGAGGAAGGTGGGATGGGGAGAGAATGTCAGTCCCTGGTGTCTCAGGGCACTGTGGGGGATGTGTCTGCAGCTCACAAGAAGCAGCTGGTTTCTGCCCTGTGGTTGCAGAGCACCAGCCCTTGCTGCAGAGCCTGGGCCTGCTGCCTCTCCATTACCCTGAGGTGGCTCACTTGAGGACAGTCTGTTGCACACGGAGGAGGAGATGAGTCTCTCTACAGGAGTGCAGGGCTCTGGGGGGTCCTGAAATGCCAGTGCCACCAGGGAAGGGAGCAGCTGTGGGAGCCCAGGTGCTGCAGGCAGCGTCACCCCTGGTGCCTCCTCCACGTGGAGAAGCCGCAGGCTCTTCAGCAGAGTTTTCTCTCCTGCTTTAGAGCAGATTGCCCATCACAAGGATCCAGGTAGGTCCCCGTCCTGTGGCACCCCACCTGCCATAGCATCACCCACAGCTGGCCCAGGGCACAGCCCTTCTCTCCAACAGCCCTGGGCCCTCTTCACACATTGCCAGAGTAGGCAGGGATGCGGCTATACAGACAGGTCATCGTAGTGGTACCTGTGCTCTCCCCAGTGCAGTGCATGCCACAGGCTTGGCCTCCTGCAGTACCCATCAGGGACTACACCACAGATCAGAGCCTGCTGTGGTGGGGGCTGCGCTGTCGGGGGGTGGCTGTGCCACAGGAAACAGGCAGACCCTCAGAGAGTAGTTTTATTTACCAGTGGTGCCAATGCTCAAGATTGCCTTTGGGGATGGGGCTGGATGCAGGCTGCAGGCAGCACCGACTGCAGTCGGCGCCCACCCCGCCTGGGGCTGGCCAGGACCCCCCTCAAGGG